GAAGCTAAGATAAGCCACAAATGTGTAGAAATGTTTCGTCAATAGTATCAAAGAACCCCAGAAATTCGTCCAAGCAAAAGGTGTGATTCATACAAGAGTCAACCGAGGGATCGAAACACTTGGCAACTTGATTCAAGTTCATTTTTCAAACAAAGTTTGCACAGAAGGGGAGAATAGCGCGCCGAACGGGTGTACCGTCAGGTCCACCTAGATCTTTTTCCGGCCACCACCACAATCGTAAGGCGTCCCTTTGCCCTTCGGGGGCTTTATCTAAATAAACATTTCCTGAATATCCGTCGCTACCCTGCAGAGAATCGGCACAGCCCTTCAAGCAACGGACCAATAAAGTCTGGGCCTTGCAGTAGACTGTCGTTTACGGCACTCTGTTTCCTTTGGCGGTACACCCGAGTGCAGCTCTGATCTTATGGGGTTTCTTTGGGTTTATAACTGGGTGGTGCAGGAAGTACTATAGTGGTTGTCGCTTTTCCTCTTCTCCGACTACGTCATTCATATAGCCAAATTCGAAACTTCGCATCATAGAATTGCAGTATGCCTGCGTCACATCTGCGTTCCTCTTCCTTCGTCCCTTCAGGTGGTGGTTACCATCACACTGATCAAATAGAGTTCCTGATTACGACCATAAATGAGTCAGGAACTCTAGGTAAATCTGAAGTAAACATTTTCGGGTTTCCAGTTGCGGCGTTGTATTCTAGAGATCAAGGTTTGCACCGACACCAAACTAAATGCAGAGTATAATTTGGACTGTCAGTTGCGGATCGGTGGAGAGGATGTGATGAACCCAGTGAGATTTACACTTCCATAAAACGATTTTCACCCAGGGGTTAGGCTGAATGTAGTGCGCTGCTGCTGATCGATCATTTTCCCGAGACGGCGTTGGATACCCTGTGTACGGAGAATATTCGGGCTGCCGGGTGGGTTTTGTGCACTTTTATGTATGTTACCTGTCGTCTCTACCTCGGTTCAAGTTTCATGCAATAAGGTCGATATCTTCTTTTTAGGCTGAATCAGATGGAGTTTTGTGAAGGTGTATTTGCAAGACACTGATCGCAACTACAGTGAAAGGATTCATTCATACTGATTGTCATTTGCCATAACGTAATAAAAGGGATTGAGAGGCAGGAGTCAGTCTGGGAAACGTGTACCCCTCGTTTTAGAGAGAGTTGGCTTATTCAACAACACTCTATAGATAGTGGGAAAACTTACCTCCTTGGCATTGCGCTCAGGGTTCAGATGGTATTTTAACCATTAGAGCTAGTGCATAAACACATACTTATCTTTTTTAGGGACAGCATAGCGGATGGCTTGCTGTTCACCTAAATGAACCATTTATTTGTGTTTCTTTCACTGTTTGCAACGTTGGTCGGCAACCAAGAACCACCGGTGTCACCCATGTGATTTAGAGTGCATCTTACTATAGCAACCCTAGGAGACGTAGCCGCCTATCTCTCTCGGTTGGGAGTGTGATGGTTTCTTCTGAATAGTCCTGTGTAAGTTCTGTAAGTAGTGGGAGAACAACTCAGAAGCGTGCACTCCTTCAGCCCGATGGATTCGAATGAAGTGCACCCACGTATACTTAAGGAATCCGCAGAATCACTGGCTGCCACATGTGTCCAATTATTTCAAAAAAGCTTGAACACAGGTGCCCTTCCACAATAGTGGAAGCGACCGACTGTTTTCTTTATTTATAAGAAAGTGGTCAACACTTGTCCACCAGCTATAGGCCTATGAGCTTATCCAGCATTCCGAGTAAGATTTTCGAGCGCCTTCTCAATCGGCGTATTCTGAGGCATCTAGCTGAGAACGCTTCTCAACATGGATGTCTTCTAGACAAGTCGTGCATATCGAAGATGCTGTCTGTAATAGATCGCTTTGTCCGTGTTCATATTTCACACTTGATCTTTGTAGACCTGCCAAAGCCTTCGACAGAGTGCCGCAACTTCCTTTCCCGTACAGGCAAGAGAGTTACGGCATCACTGGCGGATTGCTTTATTTTCTAACTAGCTTTCTGTCAAACCGATTCTTTGCTGGTCAAATAGGCGGATCTGTTTCTTCACGTTCCCCAGTCTCGATAGGAGTCCCACAGGGCTCCGTACTAGGTCCCATCCTGTTTTTTATTTTTATCAATGCTATAATTAAACATCTTCCTTTAGAGATTACCATGTACGCGAATGATGTCATTATCTGGGACACAGATGCATCCAAATTGAAGGCGGCGATTGACCAATCCAAAAGTGATCAAGTGATTTGAGCTTACCAATCAATGAGGGAAAATATACTAGCATGTCCTTTGGTAGCGCTCCTGATCAACCTTTCTGGATAAGTGGTACAATCCAAATTTAGAAGGTTGATAGGCACAAAATTCTCGGTTTCTGGCTGAATAGCAATCCCTCGTTTTCCTCCCAAAATCAGAAAGCCAGTAAATCCACATTTCGTGTCCTAAGCCTTATTAAACGCTTTTCCCCGCTTATAACCAAAGAGGACTTCTTTTTCCTTTATGAAACATACATACGCCCGCTCTTAAACTATAACGCCTTAATTGTACATTCTGGCCTTATTCGCTAGAAAGTGTGCAGCAAAAAGCCACGAAACTCCTATATCTTTGTCAGAAATCCTTTATTCTATCCGACTTAATCAGCTATATCCCTGAGACATTTGACGTATCCGAGAGGATCTATCTCTTCTGTATGAACTCTTCTCTTTACGCTTGGTTGACCGTTCCTTCACACGATCTAGACTGGAACATTTACGAGGACACCCAAGTAAACTTTTTAAACACCGGCTTAGAACTTTCACTCCCTCAAGTTTCTTCATTTACAGGATCATCTCAGAATGGAATAAACTTCCGTTAGAGATCGTGTGTCCTTCCTTTAAAAGGGTCTTTAAACACCTGTTAGACTCACCCAGAGCTCACTAACCCCAGAACTAATTGGTCTTTATATTCTGGGGGCTCTTGCCTCCTCCTATCTCGTTTTCCCTTTACTCTTCTCTCTTTCTCTCAATGCGTGTAACCCCAACCCAGCGGCACCACAGTGCAGTCCGCGCATTTATCCATAACCTCCTTTTCAGATAATGCACCGACTTGCAGAAAAGAGACAAGTACAGAACCGGGACAGCTGGACTCAAGCCTCAAACCCGAGTAGTTGTAGTGGCGATGATTTAACGAAGGAAAGAAGCAATCCACAATCTACTTTGACTCTAACTGTAATATTTTCTTCCGTTTCAATCTACTGCTTGTGTTTTACTGAGCACAGTTGTACGCTCAGGTGTATATATAAACTGGGTCCTGTTCAAGCCCAACGCTTTCGCTTTGCTATTGCATTTATTTCCTTACATTGTTTAGTCACAGCGTTGGCGCGTGTTCGCTACTTTCTAGTACCCCGATACGTCAATGGAAGTCTACGACTGTATCGATCGATCTGTGAAAATCCTTCCTGTGATGCCCAGTCAATCTATCTCGGTTCCACATTTTGTGAATTTCACGTTCCATTTACTCAACACCACCCGCTTCACACGTACACAGACATTTGACATTCCACTCCCTTTGTATATTTACGTATCGATCCTACCATTTGACTTTGTTTGTTTATCTGCTTCATTCGTACTCTACTTGTTTTAATCGCGACCTGAGCGCTCATATTTGGCTCGTTCGTGTGCAGCGTGACGGTGAGCGTGCTGTTCTTACCAAGACTTATTTTCTTCCGTTCACATTTGTTGAATTACGCTCACGGTAACACTTGGCTCTTGTTCTCAAGTTGCTTTGAGATCACTTTGAGGTTTGTACACTTTTTATTTGCTTATTTGATCGTTTAATAATGCAGTACCGTAGAAACTTGTGTGATCATTCGTTTTGTTGATGTTTTGAGATCCGATTTCGGCTAAGCGGTACTTGTTGATCCATTCGAGAGGTACAGTAATGAAATTCGCACAATTTGGAACAATTTTGAATGTCGTTTGAACAAGGAAGAATCAAGCATGAAGGACAGGAAGTAACCCAGTACCTCACTGGGGNCGCACGATCAAATTTACAACAATGGTACAAAGGAGGCGGCGGAAAGCCAAAAGTGAAAGTTCAAACAGATTATGGACATAAAAGTTGTTTTTTTCATGGGTCAGGAGATTTCGTGAAGATGCNAAGACTTATTTTCTTCCGTTCACATTTGTTGAATTACGCTCACGGTAACACTTGGCTCTTGTTCTCAAGTTGCTTTGAGATCACTTTGAGGTTTGTACACTTTTTATTTGCTTATTTGATCGTTTAATAATGCAGTACCGTAGAAACTTGTGTGATCATTCGTTTTGTTGATGTTTTGAGATCCGATTTCGGCTAAGCGGTACTTGTTGATCCATTCGAGAGGTACAGTAATGAAATTCGCACAATTTGGAACAATTTTGAATGTCGTTTGAACAAGGAAGAATCAAGCATGAAGGACAGGAAGTAACCCAGTACCTCACTGGGGAATTCGAGGGGTTTCTGATCCTCAAATTTATAGTTCGGTTAGTCCTGTTAGTGCTAGGAGTTTATAGGCCCTAGTTTGTGATACTAATTTTAAGGTGTTGGATATATTTCTCCGTAAGTTGAAGCAGGAGTTTAGGTCATGAAGCTCAGGGATTCACAAGCTAGGCAACCCTGTTCGACTAAGCACGCCACGGCGGAAAAACAAACTTTGCCCATTAGACTAACGCCGGAAGTGGCTCAACTACCGATTGAAGTAATGTTCCGGCACCTGTCGATAGACCTGCCGACGGTTGAGCTAACTCCATTTGACGGGAACCCCAGCAACTATTGTAGATTTATTAGAGAATTTGATAATTTCTTCGAGTGTCGGGTTGCCGATCCAGGGCAGAAATTCCTGTATCTAAGGCATTACTGCTGTGGAAAGGCCCGAGACGCTATCGAAGAATATGTAATGCTGCCAAACGAAATTGGATATAACCCTGCAAGGGACATGCTGAAGGAATAGTTTGTCCAACCGTTTCACATGGCACGGACGCTCATAGATGGGGTGCTAGCAGAGGCCAGTAAAGCGAGAAACGAGCCCGAATCGTTAGTGAGACTGGCAATAGAGATGCAAAATTGTTTAAGTGCCTTGACTCAAATGAATAACGAAGCTGATTTGAACGCACGACACACCCTAGAGGCAATAGTACGATACCTGCCGGCTGACATACAGCAGCGGTGGGCGGAGAAGGCGGTGATAATTGGCCGTATAGGAAGGGAACCGAACTTCACCGAGCTAACGGAATTCATCCAAAACCGTGCCAAAGTCGCCAACAGTCGCTTCGGACAAGTCGCCAGCATAGGTAGGCGAGAAGAGGGACATCGTACCAAAGAACGAACCTATGAGATCCCGAAAGGTTACAGGAACGCAATAACTACGCGACAGTAGGGGAACGTGGCACGCCCAGCTTCCCCATGTGTTGTTGGAATCACGAGCTATCCGCCTGCGAGAAGTTTGCTCAAGTGGCAGTTCTGGACCGTTGGGGAGCATCCAAGAGTAATGGTGCGCGCTTTATCTGCTTGAACGGCTCACATCGTGGGGCCGCTTGTAGGAACCGTAGCAGATACAGGGAAACGGGGTACCAAGGAAGCCACCATACTCTCTTTCGTTCTGTAAGAGAAATCCAGTTATCCGCACCACAAAAACCCAGTGTATGTCTGCTGTTTCAATCGGCGGACAAGCAATTACGCCTTGGAGTAACACCAGTGGGCAAACTAACATCCAAGGGGTTGTTGAAGGCGATGGCGTTCATCGACAACGGATCCAATACCACGTTGATCACCAAACGCTTCGCCGTTAACCACAACATCACAACCCGACCTTCTTTCCTGACGATCAGTACGGTGAACGGCATCAAGGCGTCCGCCGATCAAACAAACGTGACGTTGGTTTTGCTAGATAATGGGGAATGAGTAGAGGTGACGGAAGTATTCACCATCGCCGACTTGCCGATGCGAGCAGTAGAATCGATCGGGGAATTGGTAGTGCGTTGGCCGCACCTGCGAGACGTGTGTTTCGAAGAAGCCGACACTCCCGAAGTCGATTTGCTAATAGGGTGTGACGTGCCCGATGCACACTGGGTCCTGGACCAGAGACTGGGCGGCAGAAAAGAACCATATGCTGCTGGCACCACGTTCGGGTGGATGTTGTTCTGACCGCCTCACGCGACAAATCGTAAACCGTTATCAGTTAACTTCACTACCACCACTACTAACAACGATACGATCGAACAAGCTCTCCAAAGGATGTATGATAGTGAGTTCGATGACCTGAACGACAAGAAAGAGGACTCTTCAGTAGAAGATAACCGGGCGTTAGCAATAGTCCCAACAGGGACACCGTGCCAGCCCGACCGGTTCGAGGTGCGGTTGCCATGGAGGACGGGCTACGACCGATTTCCAAACAATCACGGGATAGCCTTAAAATGGTTAGAGTGTCTTAAAAGGCAACTGATCCGTGACACAGATCTCCATTGACGATACGCCGCAGCAATGCAACGGAACCTTCAACTGGGATACATAGAACGATTGGACGTCTCACAACCACGCGGGCAAAGACTGTGGTACGTGCTACATCACTCGGTAACAAATCCCAGAAAGCCAGGGAAGATAAGCGTGGTATTCGACTATGCGGAGCAGTCTGTTGCAGGGACTGGACCAGACCACTCCCTTGCTCAACCGATTCCGGGCTGGAGCAGTGGCGGTGGCGGCCGACATACAAGAGATGTTCCTTCAAATCAAGATACCAGAGGATCAGCGNAACGACCTATGATTTCTATGGTGGCCCGATGGTGACTTGCAGAACCAGGCGGTAGACTATAGACTGACCGTTCATCCATTCGGAGCGGTTTCCTCACCCTTTTGCGCAAACTTCGCACTTCCGTGGACAGCTTCGAAATACGGAAACAAGTTCCCGGTCTCGGTGTCAACTAGCGTTGCGATTAATGTCTACGGCGACGACTTCCTGGGCGCCTTTGACGACACAAGGGAAGCCTCACAACACGTAATGCACCTAAAGTATCTACTAGAGAAAGGGGGTTCCGTTTAGCCAAATGGTTGTCTAATTCATGTCTATAATAGAAATAATCATCATAATGGTATATTTCACGAAGCCCGTGAAGAATGCTAGTGTGCATGATCAAATGTGCAACAGTGTAAAAATGGCAGCGAAAGCAAAAAGTAATAGTACAGAGTGTACGAAAGTAATTTGCCAATGGGTACGAAAGATGTCATAAATAATAATGTGTATATTTCACGGAGCCCGCGAGACATGCACAAGGCATGATCAAGTAATCAGAGCGAGTATATGTACAACAACAGTGTACGTACATAGGTAGAAATAAAAATGGTGGAGATCAGAACTAAAACACAGTGTGGAAGAAACAAAAACCGGACAAGGTCACCGACGAATTCATGGAAGATGGAGGATGCGTTGAAAATTCATGTCACTAGAACTGGAAGTAATGGTAAAACTGGTCTCGGAAGGATTGGACGTACGGCAACAGTGCTGGGAAATACGAAGAGGCGGTCTGTGGAAAAAAGGCTGCCTGATGGTGGAGGCATGAGGACAGGAATAGAAGGGAAAAAATACAGCCAGAATAATACGTCGGTAAAAGAATGTGTTTCACTCTATGCTGCAATACAACTCGCTCCTGGAGAGAGATTCAATGGATTCGGGGCTTCAATCGATCAAGCAGTGATTTGGATTATTTAGACTAATTAGGCGTTGGTCGCTTTGATGTGGGACTGACTACACGCTAGACACCTAACCTTAAAACACCATGTAGGTGAGGCAGAGAGTGTGATCCTAAACCTGGTCTGGAACGCGGACGCATGTAGTCAAAACGGTGGAAACAGCCGTGCCCAACAACCATTGCCGGAGCCAAATTGTCCATTGTGGGTGCAGACCCCAAGCCTTCGGCAGGCCCAAGAAAACCGAATCTGGAACAAAGAGGCGATATGCAGCAGTCTGGGGTAGTACCCAACTGAAGAGGGAAGGGAGAGAGGGGAAAGGAGCATGCGACGGAACAATACTAAAAATAAGTGTACACCTAGCACGTTGTAGTAAAATGAAAGGAGAGGTAGGATACTTCAAGTGAAGAAACCAAGGTATATGAAGGACATTTTAATCCAAGTAGCACCAACACCATTTGAGCGGAAATGCTCAAACGGGGTTCCTAAACCTTAACTGAAATAAAAATAGTGATTCTAATTTGGCTCTGAAGCGTCAAAACAGATTAGTTTTAGACAACGTTTCTGAAACTGACAGAGCGAGTGGGGCTCTCAATCTGACCACACAGCCACTCCCTATCGAGTCGACCTCGAGGGTGCGATGGGGCGCGGAGTCAGACGAGTTCATCTTTCAACTAAAGCTACCCGAAAGGAATCTCACCCGACGAGGGCTGCTATCGTCGGTATCCAGCTTATACTACCAGCTCAGGTTTATCGCGTCGTGGTTGTTGCCTGGGAAGGTCCTCCTTCAACAAATTTGTCAAAAACTGACAGAGTGGGATCAACCAGAACCGAACGGATTGGGAGCAATGATTGACCAGTCTCAGTAGACTAGGTGAAATACGGATTCCGCGCCGACTCAGCCAGAGCAGTCAAGCGACGAAGGGCGAACTGCACCTATTCTCCGACGCGTCTGAAACGGGATACGGAGCAGTAGCCTACGTATGCTAGCAGTATGTGAACGGTGAGCGCAATACGAAATTACTTTTTGCCAAAGCCCGGGTTGCCCCAATAAAATGCTTTTCGATACCCCGCCTCGAACTGACCGCGGCCGTGCTAGCGGTGCGTATAGCCAAGCAGTTGCGACAGTGCTTCCGTATATTCAAAGATCGGGTCACTTTCTGGACCGACTCCCTCATTGTACTACACTATTTGAACAATTTCAGCACTGGGTTCGGCGCCTTTGTTTCCAACCGACTGACGGTAGTGCAAGAAGAGACCAAGGTGCACCAATGGCGATACATGAAATCTGCGGATAACCCAGCCGACCACTGCTCCCGAGGTTTGAAATCATTGGACAAGCTACGCTTGGCTTGGAGGCCCAACCTTTCTGACCGCGGCGTCAAAGGACGAGAGTACAGTGCTTTTACCCTCCGCGCCCGTTGAGTTGATAGAAGCAAAACGTGTTATCATGACGGTGGAACGCGACGTCACCTCTCCCCTGATAAGGAAGCTGGAAATCTTCTTGTCCTGGAGCAGATTGACTCGTTCCGTCGCTTGGTGGATAAGATTTAAACATATGGTGATGATCATGACCGAATTCCGGCCTGACAAATCGCTGCGTATGGGGACTTTATCGACGGACGACCTAATGAGAGCGGAGCACAACGTCGTGAGATTTGTGCAACTGCAGCATTTTCCCCTCGAAACAATGACTCTACAAGCGAACGCAGGGAAGAACCAAAAACGGACCGCCATCCAACGCAGCGCGCTACGTAAGCTGGACCCTATACTAGTTGAAGGGTTGCTACGCGTGGGAGGGAGACTGTATAAGTCTTCCTTGGCCTTCGACGCTAGACATCCGATCATTCTGCCAGCTGGTATCCCTGTCACCACCTCACTTATACGCCACCTTCACGTGAAAAACGGGCACATGCGAACTAACCACCTACTGAACGCCATTTGGGAAAGATTTTGGATAACACGTGGTAAAACCGCAATAAAGGAGACCATCGGTAGATGTATGTTCTGTCGACGCCAAAACGCGTTAACTAGAATGCAGCTGATGGCACTCCTACCGGAATTCAGTGTTCGAACGGGGGTGGCCGTTGGCGGAGACGGGAGTGGATTACTCCGGCCCCTTGCTGGTGAACTGCTGGAAATGGCTGGTGAAGCTGTACGGTGTCTGTTTGCCTGCATGCAGTCTCGCGCGGTGCATTTAGAGATGGTACACAGTATGTCTACTGAATCGTTCCTGATGGCACTCCAAAGGCTGATTAGCAAGCGCGGAGCCCCGAACAACATTTACTCCGACAACGGTTCAAACTTCGTAGGTGCGTCGAATGAGCTGCAAAGGTGGTTGTCCCGAGTCCATCAGAGTGAACTACATAAGTGACTGACATCCCAAACGTTTCAATAGCACTTCAACCCGCCGTACGCTAGCCATAGAGGCGGGAATTGAGAACGGATGATAAGGTCGGTAAGAAGGATCCAATTGGCTGTAGGCAACCAACAGTCCATCGACGATAAGACCCTGAACAAGGCCCTAATCGAGGTGGAGCGCATATTGAACAAAAGGCCCCTGACACCAGTCGCGAGTGAAGCCCCGAATTTGGCGCTTACGCCGAACGACTTGATACTCTTGAGACCGAAATGCGGACTGGCGGTACCAAGCCCTATTACGAAAAATTACTCGAGCAGCCACCTACCTAGTGGCAGTTTTCTGGAAACGGTAGGTCCGAGAATACTTACCTAACTTACAGGCGCGTCAGAAATAGATACTCAAAGAAAAGAACTTCCGGGTTGGTGACATAGTACTGCTTACAGATGAACGACTGCGGCGGGATGAATGGCCCCTGGCGATACTCAAAAATGCCTTTCGGACTACGACGGACCCGTGCGCACAGTTAAAGTGAAAACTGCAGCCGGCAAAAACCTGCGTGATATCCGCCGAATCTGCTACATGGAGGAGAAGGATGCAGAACCAACCGGGAAACCAAGCAGCTGAGGAATCCTCCGGGTTGGCGAAGAAAGGCACTGTGAGTCCTGGAGAACGCCTTGTGGCTAACCTCCTGAGCTGGCGGAGACGGACAGGACGACGATACGGTCAATAGAATGGCACAAAACTGTACGTATTCGGTAGAAACAGTAAGATTTGGTACTCCATCGAAATTTCCTTTGACTGTGTGACGCGAGGAAGGATTTTGGTGGGCGGTGTATTGATAGATCTGTGAAAATCCTTCCTGTGATGCCCAGTCAATCTATCTCGGTTCCACATTTTGTGAATTTCACGTTCCATTTACTCAACACCACCCGCTTCACACGTACACAGACATTTGACATTCCACNCTTGGCTCTTGTTCTCAAGTTGCTTTGAGATCACTTTGAGGTTTGTACACTTTTTATTTGCTTATTTTAATAATAATAATAATGGTCTATTTCACGAA